GTTAAAGGAATGTTTTGTGACTGCATTATTTTTTTTTCCTGTAAGTACCTAGCTTTTGCAATTGAACTACATAGCTTTCAAGACTTTTGTCTCACTGTAGATATTAACAGAAATCTAATTTTATACTCAGTGCTGAGGAACGACCTCTTATTCTAGGGTTTATCTTTTCTCCCCGGAGGAAATAAATGCCATTGATCCTGAAATGGCAAGGCTGTGGGACCAATTTCAGGAAAGAAAAATATTAATCTCCAGTTATCATCTCCGATTATTATCTGGCTCCACTTTCTCTGCAGGGTAGAATGAATCTTAGTCATTCTGCTTTTAATTCCAGTTAGTTCTTTTGTCATCACATTTGCAGTTTCTACTGATGGGCTAGATAGGCTTTGAATGGGCAGGATGGCATAAGCAAAAGAATGAGTGTCCAGCATCCTCATGTTCATTTGCCAGACCCTTAGCCTCTTATGGATTAGTTTTCTTATTGGAAAATGAGTTTTTTTAAATTAGATAATATTCCACTGTCCATTTTAATTGGGAAAAAAAAGGATTTGAGTCTTTCAGAAATTCAAGAAATTATATGAAATACAGATTTGATGTTTCTAACATGAAGTAAAAGTCTTAAGCATATGAATATGATTTATTAAAGCATTTTAGAGATTAGAAATTTTGACATGAATCAGAGAGTCTCAATAGGTATTTCTGGATGTCAAAGGTGTTGTTCTGTTTAGTATCGTGTTTCCTGTTCTGCATTGGTTTGTTGGTGTATGCCTTTCAAACAATAACTTTTGCTATCTGACATTTTCGTGAAGCATTTGAAGTTTAAGATAGTTTTTAATTAGTTAGGTTGGGGAGTTTACGGTAAGGGATATTTCAGTTTTTCTAAAGGTTCTTCTTCACTAAGGTGTTAATTCTCCTCTGCCCAAGTGTCAGGTGGCCAAACATTGTGAAGTAATTGAGTTTAAAGTGAGATTTCTAATACAATTTAAGCCACTGCATTCCCATTAATGAAAGATTACCTTGCTCCCCATTTCACAATATAGCTCTGTTAAGTACGTTCTTTTTAATAGCAGATTTGGTTGTTACGCTGAAGGTAAGATTTTGGGGGTGGGGGAGGCGCTAGGCAGGCTTGAAAACATTGGGAGATTTTGCTTTTATAAATAGCCTAACTTTATATCTGGACATTGGCAAGTGGATGAAAGTATTGCTTGTTTTATGTTCTTTGGAGTTTTGCTGGGGCTTGGAGGATTATAAACCATCCAGAGGTTTCTGAAACCTGACTCAGCTTAGCTCTCCATTTTTCCTGTGGGATTCCTTGGTGAGATACACCCACACACACACACCCACACACACACCCCCCCCACATATACCTCATTCTCCCTGTACATGTATATAAATATGTATTGTTTTACTAGAAAATAAAAAGGTGATTTTGCCTTAGTCAATTTAAGTCAATATGTATATACAAAGATCTGTAACAAACCTAGATAAAGAGCCATTTTATTGTTAACTTGGCTTTTGTCTGAATATTCCAAGTACATCTCGCAGGTCTCTGGTCCTGGGTGAATGGTTTGAGGCTTTTGAACGTAAGGATGGCTTGGATTTTCTTTTCAGAATCTAATTCTGTACCTTATCCATGTGTCAGCTGTCTTTATGCGACAAAGAACAAGAAACTGAAGAGGGTCAGTTTCTGTGTAGGAAAAGATGAAGATCTTCCTTTCATGTAAAAGTCTGCCCTGGCTTTATCACTGTGCATCTTTATCGACAGAGTAGTTGATATGGGCTACTACAAGCTTAGAAATCTGAGAGCTGGGTATTCAAGAAAATAGAAATGTGATTATGTTCTTGAAACACTGAATTGCCCAAGAATGAAATCCTGTGTACAATTTGGAGAGGTAACCTGAGTGATAGGTAGGAGAGAAATCATTATTTTGTAACAGCATTATCTATACCATCATATAAATAGTCAAACCATGTTTGAGTTTGAGGTGTGCGGTGAATAAGCACCAGCTCTGCCTTTGAACAGCTCTTGGGAAAGAACATATACATTTTAAATGATCCCAGTTTGATCTAATTAATTTTACAGCCACTTAGATTTTTGTTCTTCCATTGACAAAGCAAAATATTGACTACATCATTCCTATATAAATTTTCAAATCAAATGGTCAAATTAAAATGAGTGATTTGAAATCAAGCCTCTTAATGAAATTTTTTCCGTTTTGTTGTAGTTAAGTGTACATGACAAAAATTTCCCATTTTAACCGTGTTTAAGTGCACAGTTCTGTGGCATTAGCAACACTAACATTGTGCATCCATCAGCACCACCGTCTTTAGAACTTTTAATCTTCTCCAGTTGATCTCTGTACCCATTAGACCCTAATTTCCCCATTCTCTACTCTCTCATAAAAAGATCATTTTAAAAAATATTATTTTCTAATCACAGTATAAAATGAATCCTGCTAACCTTCCTTTAACTTCACTTCCTTATACTACTAGGGAAGTGTATATGGAACATTTAGGTTGCAGTTAGATGGTACAGTGGAAAAGAGGTCTGTATGTGAGCTGGGCATTTTATTAATTTTTTTCCCCCCCAAAACAAGGCCTCCCTCTGTTGCCCAGGCTGGAACACAGTGGCATGATCTTAGCTCACTGCAGTGTCAAACTCCTGGGCGCAAGTGATCATCCCAGTTAATCCTCCCTACTATCTAGCACTACTATGCCCAGCTAATTTTTAAGTTTTTTGTAGAGATGAGTACTTGCTTTCTGGCCCAGGCAGGTCTTGAACTCCTGGCCTCAAGCAGTACTCCAGCCTCAGCCTCCCAAAGTGTTGGGATTACAGGCCTGTGCCACAGCAAGCCGGGTGTTATAAATAGCTATGTAGGATGTATACAATACAAGCTCCAGCCAGAGGTAAGATAACATAAAAGTACATGTTTAAAAAGCCTAGATTAATAAATATTCCAAATTCAGGAGCTTGTAGGGACAGAAATTAGCATAGATTAGTTGATTCTAGAACACAGATCAGGCAAATAATGGAACTCCAATTAGCTAGACTAATTGGACACCAGAATGATCTGTAATGCTACTTGGAGCATTATTCTTAGAGTACAGAAGAATAAAGATTCAATAACTGAGAAATTGGGCCAGTGATTCGAATTCCGAACTGAGCTATCAAAAACAGGAACATAAAAGCAGAGAGAGGGGATAACTACATATCAGATAATAAAAGTTGAGTTCAGTTGATAAAATACCTAGGTATTGTCTCTAACTTCTCCTCCTCTTTCCTACCCTGGCACACCCACACCCAATGCCCCACCTAATAAACCATTTCCTTCCTCCTCATCCCGCCCCTCCCCCACCTTCCTCCTCTTCCAATACAAGATCCATAAAATTATGGGCATGCTATCATCAAATATAGAAGTAAGTTTATTATAATATTCTGCCACTTAGGCTTGACCATTTTGCTATCAGTGTAATTCTTTTCAGTATTTTGGAATAATGATCATTTTTGTGTCTGATCACTTCTCTTCTATCAAGTTTTGGATAATCACTCTGACTGTTTTGCTGATTGTATTCTATTTTCCCCAGAGATACACCAGGATGTTCTGTCCATGATTTAATATGGCATTGATTTTTATCTGTTGGTTAATATATTATTACTTTTTCTAGTCTCAAGTTGCTTATTAGCATTGTGTGTACAAATACTAGTAAGTTGATTTATCAGCTATTTCCATTTGACACCATGCTAGAGATCCAGAATTACCTGTGTTATTGTTTAGATTTAATTCTTGTAAATTAGGAATGTACACTGAGTCCTCATGCATGACTTTTCCCATCTCTGGTCCATTCTCTTGTATATGCATTCATATGTCATGCATTAACTTTCAGACTTGGCTTTGTAATTTCTTTTAGTAGAGATATTTTTCTACCTTTTGATACCATCAGATAATATATGGGAGAGTGTTACACATAAAAATAGTGGAAAAATATTTTTTATGAATATACATGCATTATTCCATGATTGGGAAACACCAGCATTCAAGAAGAATTCATAAGGGCCAGATACCAGAAGTATTTCTTATGGTGGGGAGATTTTAAAGACATAAAAATTTAGGGATTTTTGTGAGAAGTTGTGATGAGCCAAGAGAGATCATGTTAGAACAGGATTCAGTTTTCTTTCAGTCGTGTTTTTAACTCTCCTGATATCTTCTGCTTTCTTCCATCAGTCTTTAGATCTATTCAGTCAGAGCTCATCTCAAATTGTAACGAACCCAATTAACACTAAGATATATGTGATAAATAGGCTTAACTTTTCAGGATTATTTTTCTCCCTAATGCACAGCTTGTGAATTTAAAAAGTTGTTTAATCTGTGAATTTGAATGGTGTTAATATTTTATTTCATTTGTACTCTTGTTTTCTGCTAGTTAAGTCTTTGGTTATGAGGGGGCAATTATACCCAAGGGGACCTCAAGGAAATGGTTCTTTTTGTAAGGTTCATACTTTTGAGATGAGCAAAGTTGCTAATTATTATAATTTAGAAGGTCCTTGGAGATTAAGCAGTTTTTATGAAATATTTTGGTTTTTAATTTCATATAGGAATAAAGAGGTAGAGAAAGCATTCTTTAGGTCAGCTTTGTAAAAATTGTTATTGTTTTGAGGTATATACTTTATTTTTTAACGGAATATTTCCTAATACTTTAATAGTTCTTTTGTACATATAACAGTGGTTAAAAAAATCTAGATATACCCATAATTAAGGATTTATTAAGTAATGAGTTTCTTATTCCTGTCCATGTAGGATTTGAGTTGCAGAGAAAAGACCTTCAAGACTATTTGTTTTGTGACATTGTCTACTAAAACAGAATGTCCCGGAAAGAGAAATATGCATTTATCTGCTACATTTTTGATGATTGCTACAGTTGAAATAATCTGTTCCACAAAATTTTATTTAGTGCTTCAGCTACTCTTCCTATATATTACATAATTCTTTTTTTTTTTTTTTTGTCATTAAGAAGCCTTTATTAGGTTATATTCACTTTGACCCTCCCACCAAATTAAGGGGGAAAAAACAAAACACAAAAGTAAGAAATCCCAGGAAAAGAGCCCCTCAAGATTTCATAAACTACAAACTAAAGCTACTAATAAGGAAATGGCAGAATTTTCAGAGCTATATAATACAAGAATTCCTGTAATTTAGGCAGATGTTTTCCTCACCGATGACAAATTTTGCAACACAATGTGAAGTTATGCTACTTGGATATTTGTAGCAAAATCATTTTTTGTACAAAAACAAAAGCAAGGAACCATAAAATAAAAGTATATGTTCCTCATGGCCTATGAGCATACAAAATTTTTTAGAAATTTAAAAGGGTAACTATGAGAGCCTAACATTTTTCTATATCCCACCTATTCTGCCTCTCTATTTGTAGGAATTGTAAATGAAAGTAACATCTTATTAGCAGAGGTCTCATCTATTTCCCACTGCCTCCAACTAATCCTACTAATTTTCTCTCATCTTCCTGAGCATCCTCCATGAACAGCATTGCAAGTTGGTTTTAAAAATAGAAAAGAAAAAAAGAAAGTAAGGTTTACAAGAGTTTTGTTGGTTAATTACCAGTGGAATCAGTCCACCAGTAGTTTGATTTCATTGGCTAGCAGCTGGTTCATGTTGAACAGGCCCCCTGGGAGCTTGGTGAGCAGCTCTCGCTCCGTACTTTCAGGGTCACTGTCAACAGAGCTGGAACTTGCTCTGATGTTGTCAACAGCAGTGCTGGCTGGGGGACCCAGCTCCGGCTCACTAGTCTCACTGGCCGTGGACACCACGGAGAGCAGGGACATACGCCGGGTGAGCCGGCCAGAGGGTAGAAGGGAGGCGGCATAGTCTGCTATGATACCAGCTACATCTAGATTACAAGCCTTATGAAAGGCGATGAAACCTACATTTGCATTGGCCTCACAGACGCAGAAGGAGCCGTCATCTTTCATCAACAGGTCAATGCCACACACGTCCATCCCCAGGATATTAGACACCTGGATAGCTAGCTGCTTCCCTTGTTCACTCAGTGAGCACATTATCCCCACACCACCTAATGAGCAGTTGCTTTGCATTCTCCCATCTGTTGAACAACGCAACATGGTGCCAACCACACGGCCTCCCACGACAATGACACATACATCCCGTCCATGAGACTCCTTAACATACTTCTGGAACAGGTATGGCGCTTCGTGGCGAATAAGATGGCTTAGATCAGCCAAATGGTGCTTATCTCGAGCCAAGAAAACAGCTTTACCTCTATGACCCCGCGTATTCTTTACTACCATTGGGAACTCCAGTACTTCTGCTTCATCAATCATTTTAGCAGAATTTTCATGGCCACCATAAGAGAAAGTGTCTGGCAGAGGAACACCACGGCCAGCCAACTCTTGAAATGTCCAGAACTTATTAACGCAGTTCAGGATGGCTTGAGGTCGGTTCATCAACCGGCATCCCATCTTCTGTAGATGGCGCAAAACAGTAATGTCACTATCACTTTGCACCCACGGGGTTGGTACTCTGACTACTACAACTTGTGGGTAGGCAGTGATTAGCTCTCCATTGATCCGTAGACCCAGGTTTCCTTGCTCGATTGTCAGCACCACCTCATCCATCACCACAGCCCTAAAGTCCAGTTCCTCCTCACAACATTTGGCCTTCAGTGCTCGTAAAATCTCTTTTTGAGGATAGTCTTCCCTGATGCGACGATCTGTCAAAAACCACAACTTGGCAGCCACGGAGCTACACATCTTGATCAGCTTGTGCTTCCTTGCCTGGATTATTTCCTCTTAGATGTAACATCTATCTGTTTTGAAATAAAGAGAAATTCTACCAAGAGAATTTCTTTTTGAGACAGTTTTCCCACGCAAACTTCTGGATCAGCATACCAATAAAAAACAGCCCTGAATCTTGGAAGACTCAGTCAAAACTAATTGGAAATCTCAAAGTGCTTCATCCATCCTCTGAAATAGGAACTATGTAGTAAACTCTGAGCTCAAATGGTTTCAGTTTTGGGGCTTGCGTGTTTTAGAGTTGAGCTCTTGCTCTGCACCAAGCCAGTTGACTATGGAAGAGGAACAGCCAGATAAAGAGGCCTGGAAGGGTCCTGAGCACGGGCTTCTGTCCCCGAGTTGGGGTGCACCACCCTCCCAGCAGATGGAAGCAGCTCACCTGTTACATAATTCTTAGCCTTGAATGTCAAACAGACTTCTTTTTGCTAGTAAAATACTTTGATTAGTTATGGCAGTCATATATTAGTATTTGAATAGAAAAATAGCCTCTCTCTTTCTCCCCTGATTATTTTCTATTTAGGTAGGTACATACCCATTTATTTACGTGCCTAGAAGTATTAAAACTTGGTTTGAGAGATCAGATATGACTAAAGTAATTTATACAATTGTAGTTTTCAATACCAAAGCATTTACTTTGATGTTTTCCCAGGAGTCTATTGCCAACTCACAAAAACATTCCAGTTTTTTTTTTTTTTAACTTTTTTTCCCCCCTGTACATTCTGTATCATCTGGTTTTGAGTTACCTAAATCTTTTTTGAAACCATATTGTCCTATCACAACCACCAGTATTGTTAACTCAGAAATTTAGTTTTTTTTCCCTGTCATTTGCCTATTCTCCATTTCTGACCTTTAAGATTATCAGGTGCATTCCATTCTACTGTATGGCTGAATAGGTGAACCCTATCCGAAGTTACCCACTACTTGAGAGGCAGTGATAGGTGAATTCTTGACTTTCTTTTGGAACTAGAGTCATCTTTATGTATTTGCAGGGGATTAGTTCCAGGAACCCAACAGATAACTAAAATCTACACATAATCAAGTCCTAAAGTTAGTCCTGCCTAGCCTGCAGTTGGCCTTCCATATCCATGGGCTTTGCTTCTTGAGAATACTGTAGTTTGAATCTGTGTTTGGTTGCAAATGGATATCTGCCAATATGGAAAGCTGACTATATTTGTTGAAAAATACCTGCATATAAGTGTACCTGTGCAGTGCAAGCATGTGTTGTTCAAGAGTCAACTGTATAGTTATTTCCCAAAGTTTTAAATCCTGCTCATTGTGTTCTAGAAGACTAAATATTTCTCTTCCCTCCCTCAGACCTATTCAGTTTCCCACTAACTGTTCTGGTGAACATGTATAACAAGGAAAGATTTGGATCAAGTGTAAATGCAATGTGTGGGGACTTATCCTTCTAAAGCGCTTGGTTGTAGACTACTTTTCTCATACAGATTCCCTACCCCAGAGGATGCTCTAGGCTTTGCATCCTCTAGGTGGCCAGTTCTTGGTCTCAGGCCTGTTCATAGCCAAGCCTTCCATGCCACCTTCAGCAAGCAGCTTATATTCTCTGTGCTTAGGTTTCCTGATTTATAGAATGAGGTGGTTAAAGTCCATACTGAAGTGCTGTTCTGGTTCAAAAATTTATATCTTTTAAATTTTGATACTCTTTATCAGCCTCTTAGAATCTCATGAGTTAGAAAGCAAAGAAAAATATCAGCAATTATGCAAATAATTTATAGATGCCTCCCCACTCCTAACTCCATTTGAGTCTATTAGAGACTGGTATTTTTCATTTTCTAGATAAATTATTTGCTTTATTTTTTTAGTTGAGTTGAATTTATTATCTTCTCTGTGTCATAGAGAAGAATGCTTGCTTATTTTTACAAATAATATACTTATTTTCATCCTCTTAAGACTAGTGTAATTACAGTCTATTTAAAAAGATAATTAATTATAAACATTAATATGTAAAATTTAATATGCTAAAGGCATACCAGAAAAAAAACTTAAAATGCTCAATATTTTTGATACATACTGTCATAAAATACATTTAGCCAGGGAGCACCAACAAAAGCAGAATAAACACTTATTAGTAACATTTACTGTTGTTAAATACTCAATGATAGAAAGAAAAAACTGGACTTTATTATCTTTTATGCCTATACTGACTACTAATACATTTAAAACTGTATATTCTGAGATGTTTTTTCTTTTGCAATGGTGAAATAATGTGTGATAACACTTACATGGAGTCTTACTCCTAAAAAGCTGTATTTTTAATCAGTCTGATTAGTGTGTAGCAGAAAAGGAATGGGAATAATATGTATAACCATGTGCCATGTAATTATGATTTTTAAATGGAAAATTTAGTATGAAAGAAAAGATTTCGAAAGGAGATTCTTTATATAATTTTGTGGCTATTTTTGAAACATTGAAAATAGAAAAAGAATGAAGTGAAAATGTAATTAAAAAAGACTTTTTCAGTTCATGGCTCTTGGCAACATAGAAACTTTTGTCATCTTTGACTTCATTTTGACATAAAACCCTTATAAAATGCAGCATATGCTGTGTTAGTGATCAGTACAGTTTTTGAACAGTATTAATCTTCTCTTGGAAAAATGGAGCCTTACACAGCGTTTCTAGAAGTAAGATTAAACACAGACCCCTAATGGCAAAAAAGCTAGATCACAAGTCTAGATGGCACTAATAATCTGACTTTGTGATTTAGAGTTTCACGTTATACTTGAGAAAATCTCGTCTTTCAGCATCAGTGTATTTTGTACTGGCTTTTGAAGAGTGGCTCGACTGATTCATGGGATTGAGTATAAAGTGTGCGTTACGCTTGAATGCTAAAGTGTGTTTATGGACTCTGATTGTACTCTTCTTTGTCACCACAGGGGGAAGGTTACATGAAGGTATTTATCATCTCATTTCATTTTCACAACTACTCTTAGAGGGCCAGTGTCCCTGTATCATAGAGGAGCAATCACAGCCATAATGAGGTTTAGTGACTAGTATGCTGCGGGGTAGGATGTAGAACCTGCTGTCAGGATTCCAGGCCTGAGTTCCCTGAAAGAGGACCCTACCCTTCCTCCAGTCATACTATTATTTTACAGAGGTATTGCCAGCATGGCTAATGGAAATAGTAGTTTGTGTAAAAATTTCATTCTCATTAAATGTCCTCCTTTATTTTCATTCGTATTTAATAATCCTTATTTTTGCCAACATTTAGAAGCTACTTTATCAGTGATCTTTGCATAAAACATTTTTGCTGTTTTGCACTGATGCAGCCCTGATTGCATTAAAAAAAACTTTTGTTATCTCTCAATATGAAAGATTTTTCCAAATCAATCTTTTTGGATAATAGACTCATTATCTGGCTTCATATCAACAAAAAAGTATTTCTCTCTCTGTTTTTTTAAAAATTTCTGTTGTTTTCTCTCTTAGGCAGTTCTGCTTCTTTGTATCCCTTTGTCCATATTCTCACTATTTATGTTCCATTGATCCTTCATCCCAGCAATGCTGTGACTATACAATAGCAGTGAAGACGGGAGAAGAGGATTAACTGAGTATATACTCACCATCCTAAGTATGCTGATACATTACATTCAGTAAGAGTCTAATTTGTCATTTTTGTTTTACAGAGGCAGAATTGGTTAAATTATGTCAGTGTCTTATCTGGAGGTTGAAGTGGCGAAGGTTGCATGTATTTTTTTTTTTTTAATGTGACACCTAACATAATTCATAGATAATGAAAATAATGTTGGAGTCAAAGTCAGGTAGTCATCATTCTTTTATTAGATTTGTTTAAAATTTCCCTAAACATTATTTTTTCTTTTTGTGATGATGACGACGATGATGAAAATGATAGTGATGGTATTAGGATGACTATAATGAGAGTTACATAAGAAATGGAAACAGAAAGCATTCAGTGCAGTACTTAATAGGCGCTCAGTAAATGTGATTTAAAATTTAAGGTTACTTGTGTCTTTGACGTTTTTCTTTAGGAGACTATGAAATGTCTCAGAATGTAAAAGTTTACTGATAATGATGAGAAAAGTAATTATTTAAAAAAGTTACCATCTGCCTTTAAGAATAAAGACAAGAAAACTAAACATAAACATTTTCTGAGAAGTTGAGGATTGCTCTTTGGTCTGGTTAAAGAAGGGAATCTTACAAACTTTATTAGCCTTCATCTGAAAATTTTAACTAATACAACAAGACAAGAAACAAGGTTTAAATTCTGGGAATAAGGAGATGAAAGTGTCATCATATAGCACCCAGAAAACCTGTGACACTCCACAGACTAGTTACTAGGACTGATACCTGTATCATCATTCCCATTTTCTCTATGACTATGTGGATATAAAAGAGCTTCTGTAATTGAACATGTTTTAAACTGGTCCAGTCCAAACCTGTTTCTCATTTGTTGCTAAATTAAATAAACATCACCATCATCATCTCTCTGGTTGCTTAAGCCAGAATATCCTCTTCTCCTGTACTCTACAGATTCATACATACACATAAGTGACCATATATATGTCTATCCAGAAGATATTTATTGAGCACCTAATGTGTTCCAGACTTTATTCTTGGTGCTAAGAATATAGTGGCAATCAAGGTTTCTGCCTAAGTGTCTCATTTTCTAATGGAGGAAGAGGGACAATATCAAATTTATGATATGTAAGGAGTAAGTGCTTTCCAGGAGAAAAAAGGCAGAGAATGATCATACAGAACACCAGGCGAAGAGTTTGCTTTCTATATAAGTCAGTAAGGGAAGGCTTTGCCAATAAGTTTTAACAGGATTCTTTTGCTGCACTGTGGTGGAGAAACTACAGATGGGCAGGCCTGAAAGCAAGGAGACTAGTTAGAAAGCAGCTGTGGTCCGGGTGAAAAAAGATGCTAGGCAAAAAAGAGAAATTGTAGCCAGGGAGGTGGTGAGGACTGACTATTTTAGTGAATATTTTGGAGTTAGAATCAACCAAATTCACTGATGGATTGGATATGACTGTGGGGG